ATTAAATTTCTTTGTTGCTCATTAAGTAGTATTTATTGAACAGAAGTATATAGCCAGAATGTAATAAATTATTCTATTTAAATATTAAGACTATGGATTTTAAAAAAGTTGCATTCCATTTCACTCCCTAAAATAATTACATATTTAATATCTAAATTCGTTTTCAGTTAAGAAGTTATTTAGTATGATTTCCAGGAACTCTGAATTCAAAATATTATTAGCTTGTAGATAATTTTCAACAAAACTTAGATGGCTGTGGGCTACAAACAGAATAATATGTTATGTATGTTATATTGTCGAAAACATCCTGGGAATATTGAGTTTTCCTGCTCCCTCTTATTAGATGTTTTTCTAGATGTGTAGTAATGAATGGTAATTGGAATATTCGACATATTTGCGCATCAAACATGGTGCATTGATGTCGGATAGTTTTTACAATGCAACGCCCACGAATCGAATAGTTAGAGGATGGATGGTCGACATGTTTTACCATCAAACAGAATTTATATTAAATCAAATTCGAGCCGCCAAAGTCAACGTCGCTGTCGCTGTTGCAGTCGCCGTTGGCAGCAACGCTCACGGTGGCCATCGCCGCAGGCAGCGCCATTATCTAAGCACACCTTCAAGCCTCAGAATTGCAATGGAAGGTTGTTTGCATTCAAGGCTCTTTGCGGCTGGATGAATTGACCTAAATATTTCGCTTGGCAAACCTAATAGTCAGGGTTATACTCACACACACACACACACATTCCACACAACGCGAGTGTGTGTGTGGGGGGGGGGGGAGAGAGGGAAGGGGGCACCTGTATTGGGTTGGGCCTGCAATGTTGCTGGAGGATTGGGGGTGGAATGTGGCTCCGGCTCCTAGCCCTTATTTATGTGTGTGCTTCGAAATCCAATAAAATGCGAAATGAATTGATTTCCCAGCAACGATGCCGCCTTGAGACGAAGGATATCCTTGCCTGTCCTGTCCCGTCCTGTCCTGTCCTGTCCTGGCCTAAACATTGATTGTCCCAAATGGCGCTTTATGGCCATTGTTGTGCCATGTTATCAATGCGAAATCGTTATCATTACGGCCCCTCTGTCGCAGGATCCGCTTCACGGTTGTTGCTTCCACTGTTCCGCTCTCGATTTGCCAATCTGTAGGTCACGTTGCCAGTTTGTTCATTAAAAGGGCCGCGTGATTTGTGCCGGGCGAACGCGGCGTATACGTAACGCCGCACCGCCATCCCCCTGCCGTTGATGAAGTCATTTTTCAGCACTCTCTGCTCTCGCCGATTGTATTTTAATTTAGTCGCTACGTGCCGTCGGCAAATGGCATCCAAACCTCTTACCTCTCCCAGCAAACAGTAGTCGCTCCAGCATCCCGCAACAGCAATCCCATATCTCACCTCCAGGACCTCTCCGGTTTCGATTCGCATTGCTGGGCGAACTGACTGTGGTATTCAATTTGCCGCCGAGCTGCCGCATCGAAGTCGCCGCAGGACGTGACGCTGTGGCTATAATCATAACAATAACGCATTTGTCTGAAGTGTTATGTCCTTGCCATGGCCACTCCCAGCCCACTCCCACTCCAATCGAACCCACGGATTTGTTACGCTTGATTATTTCATTAACTTTACGACCCAACTCTGTGCATGACAATGCGGCTAACCGAAACGAATTTTCATTGCCTAGAATTATCCAATCCACTTTGCCTATACACAGGAAATAATATCGATTTCAAATTGGTTAAATATGACTTTTTAAAGAATTTAGAGATGTACAATAAGGTTCCTAGTTTAGGCAAAAGCAATTCGTAGATTATAGAGTACAATATTCTATTTAGATTTTGTTTGATTTAAATTTAATTTAGTATAGCAATTTGGTACCTTTTAAATTCACACTAAGCCATCTTAATGGGTTCACAGGACTCGATTTGTTTTCAATGGAGCTCTTCGTTTTCCTCCGTGTGCCGAGAGGTAAACAAAAGTTCGCACACAAATTCAAAGGGGACAAAAATAAAAGGCTTAGGGCTCACTTGACATTTTGTTGGGGGCTTGCGGTTCTGGTGGCAACCACACCACCGCCCACAATCGAAGGCTGTCGATAAGCTCAAATATCGATTGGTATTATCTCCTGTAGTTGATCAATATTGAGCACAGGCTTACGCTTATAAATAGCGGCGTCTGTTTGCCATATGTTGCCATGCCAAAACACACTCCAAGACAGATCAAACACTCATCCCTCTCACCTTGACGCTGGGCTTGTAGGTTCAAGAAGCTGGATGTTTGTCAAGCAAACACCGGAGGACTTGGCTTGGCTCCACTTCACGCCACAAATTGGTAAAACCACAAAGGGTCTCAGTCTCAGGGTCGCTCCGACACGCTAGTCAATTATGGCTATTTCGGTTACTTCAATTATGTTTGTAACATACAACACGTCATAAAAGTCGAGAGGTACATTCATTAATTATACTCTGGTTCATTATGTATTTCGAAGAACATTATTTTGCTTTTCACAGTTTTTGTAATTATTTCTAAAAATAACTCAACATAAAGGATATAAGTTGAAGCTGGTATTTGACCTTGTGGCTTTTGAGTTTACTCAACTTCTACAATTTAACTTGTCAATTTATTTGTGCGAAATTTAACTTATTAAGGAAAATAATGCTATTAAAGGTTTACTATAATTATAATTAAATGCTCCATAGAAAGCACAAGTTATATATATAACAAATATATATTAGTTCTTCACTTTGAACACTTATTGTTTTGGTTTCCCAAAAGGGTATTTTAAGCTATCAGCTGTTTAAACTATTTATCTTGCTTACTCTCTTCAGTTTGCCCCCATTGTTTGTCTGGTATTATCAAAAAGCCACTTCACTTCGTTGAGCTTAGCATAATATTGTTGAAAGTGGGTTCAGATACTTGACTGTGCTGAGTGCACTGATGCAAACTTTAATCCCAGACAAACAGGGCGAGTCACGTTTGCTGGTCGGAATAGAATTGCATACCCAATTAGATAGTTTATTTGCCAGAGGATGTCCGAACAAAGGTCTATTTTTGAGAAGTTCACTATACAGCGAATGCTAATTTGCGTGGCTACAAGTGATGAAGCGTTTCGCAACCGAAATTTGAATTTAAATTTGTTTTTAACCAACTTTTGAAGTACTCATGTCCATAAAGTTTGCCACGAGCGCCAGGGCCTCGTCCTTGGTCCTCGACAGGCAGATATATATCAAAGTTCACCCATATCAGCTTAATATCAAGTGAGTAGCCAAATACACTCGCATTAATGGCTTTGGATCCAGTCTGTTGCACTTGCAGGTCTGCCCAAAAAGCCATTTCAAATCGAAGGAATAAAACCGAAGAACCCATTCGGGATGCGGCGCTGTCTCCACGCGTTTGCTTGGTCCTGTGCACACACTGTTGATTGTTTGTCTGTCCCGTCTGACGATGTCCTGCCCACACATGATCCTGGCCAGAACCTGTGCCGAAGAGTTCACCGGCACTGAGCACAAATAATATTTATATTTTTATGTGCCAAATCATATTAAAGTTAGCTTTTATTGGGCTGCCTCGCCTGCGTACTGTGCGTATGCATAATAAAATGCGACAACACATCGAGATAAGACAGGCGAACGAGACAGGAAATTAGAATCTCCGGCCCGGCAGCAGGCAGGAGGCGTCTCCTCCGGACGACCATTGAACTCCTGGTGGTCTCCTCCTCCGACCTCCTCCCCCTGCGTCGCTAATGACGCGTGGGCGGTACTTGTTTAATTGCCATTCGATATGTCATGCCCCCGGCTCTGTTCGGCGGCTGTCATCAACCTTGGCGAAGTTCGCACCCAGCTCCGCCTCCCCCATGTGTGTTTTATAACCTTTTGTGTCTGAGTGAGTTATTCCTCTTAGCATAAATTCATAACGCACAACTATGCGGCAAGTGCGGCCCGTGTCTTCCATCAAATGGAATAAAAGGAATACAAATTAACTTAGGCAGGACTGCGGTCTGTCCTGGTCTGGGCTGGTCTGGTCTGGTCTGGGTAAACAATGCTGCGAACCCATCCTCCTGCCAGTGGCTGCCTCCTCGCAATCTGAGACTTGTCACCAAATTATGAATGATATGCAGCACATAAATCTCAGTCAGCAAACAACGGCGGAGACGTGGGCGGCGGTGGCGATGACAAGAAGCATTGAATGTTAACCGGGACCCAAGCACAACTCGAATCCAACTGGCCGTGACCAAGACAACAACTGCACAGGGAAAATTCCAAAAAATATTAGGACACTGAAAAAAAATCAAATTCTAGACTTCAAAAGTGTAAAAAATAATATAAGTTTCCTATGTTATGATGCAAAAATAGATTTTAAATTAAATTACATCAAGCGGTTATTAGCAAAGATGCTCTCCGGAAATTTGTGGATCTAGAAATGTTTGAAAGCTTCTGATTTTTTAACTTTTAATTCATTAATATAAATGTTTTTACTGTTTTATTAGGTCAGGTTCCTAAAATTCCTAGCAGAACTATTTAAGAAATTATAAGAAAAAGAGGTATTGATAAAAACTATTAAACACATCCTTGTAAATAAGAAGGTTAAGCAACTACCCCTTTTTATAGAATATCTAAAATTGGAGAGTAAATTTCTTCTGCTAATTTATCCTATATTTAGCAAAATATATGCCACACTTACTATCCCTTAAGAGTGCTTCCCTTTTATCCCAGTGTATGACCAGGACAATGTGACCGAAAGTTACTCAGCATAATTTTTACATTGTTTACGGCCAATATTTACCCATTTTTCTCTAACATTTTCACGTTTCTCCCTCCCCATCTGCTTGCTGGACTCGTAGCCTGGATGCTGGGATGGCTGATGTGCAAGTTCGTACCCTACATACAGGGTGTCTCCGTGGCAGCCTCGGTTTACAGCCTAATTGCTGTCTCCCTGGACAGGTAAGTTCAAAAAACACTCGCACCAAATACATGGCTATGAACTTTTATTGTGGGATCAGTTTTCGGAGGTCATGGGAGGGGGTCGGGTTCTCGGGCATTGGGACTGGGTTTGGGAGTGGGACTGGGATTAGGGTCCGTGGGTGCCGCTAATGATGCACAACCACAGCGGGATGGGCGTGATGCACTGGAATCAAAGGCACCACTGGTTTGACGGCATGCACTGCGACGACGGGTTTGTGGACAATCGGGGTGATGACCTTGACGGCTGCCGGATGATGCACAACGTGGCTGTTCGAAGGGGAGAGAGAGCGGGGTAAGTGGTGATAAGGAGATTGAAAATGAATGGCCTTACGAGTGCACCGAGTGGGCGCCATGATGAATGATGGGCGTGTGCACCACCGCGGGGTGCGCCACCACGGGAGCCACGGCTACCACTCCGGGATAGGCGTATGCCTGGGAGGCGGCGATGGCGACGAGCACGAACAGCTGCGGCGGATCAGAGTTCACGGATTAGCTTCATTAGTGGGATTAACTATGGAGCAGCATGTGGCTGCCACACACAGATACAAAGTATGTTTTACTTGGCGAGAAGAGGGATAGGACTTTTTACAAATTAACATGTTTAATAATTTATACTTTTAAGCATTTTAAGTTGGTTTCTGAATGAAGTTCGGATTGAATAATTTTGTAGATTTTTCTAACACTTTAATGGAATATTATTCTCAGATTTTATACACTGTACTCACAACTTTGAACATTTTGTTGGCTGTGGTTTGTTTTGGCGGGATAACTGAAGTAGGAGCTAGGCTAAAGACTTGTAATTGTCAACTGTTGACAGACCTAGCTTCGAGAGCCGCTTTTATAGGAGACAGATCGGATCAGTTGATCCGAAAGTAAGCGCCGCTCAATGCAAGCAGCTGCTGGGAAAACTGGTCGTCGGACCGAACAGGCAGTAGGAGAGCCAGTGGAGCAGGCGTCTCAAGATCAAGTTCATCGTATGTTCTACGGTTTGCCTTGTCCGTATTAGGAGCTGCATACACTCATTTCGTGTTTATCGCAATTTTTTGTGCATTTTCAATTGGCGTAGAATGTTGTTTGTCGTTTCGCCTTGTCACAGTGATACCGATTCCGACACCATTGATGAATCAAAGTGTCGGCCCTGCGCTTCCTGCAGCATAAAAGGCATAAAAGGAGGATTTGCTTTGTCACCATAAAGTCGCCAATGTCGCGTCCAACTGATTTATCAAGCGATACTAAAGCGTTTTGACGTGGGCGAGTCATAACCCCAAGGACAATAAGAGATTTCAAGTGGCTGTCGCTTTATTTGCGCACTTTCATTTATATCAATTTCTAGCCACTATCGAAGGAGGAGTCATATCCACTGGCCCTGTCATTTTTCAGCCAGCGGGGACAAAGGCGAATACAGCAGCACAGTACATCATTACATCGTTTGGTCACCCACAGACCCGCATGACAGAGCCCGCCCACGCCTAATCCCATCCCCTCCGAGTCCGAGAGCCACTCCTAGTCCAAGTCTAAGTCCGAGTGTCAGTGTCCATTGGTGTCTGTTTATCCAGTTGCTTCGCCAGCATCCTCTGTTGCTTTATGTTTTTACGAGCCCTCGTAAACTGGATCGAAGTTTAAGATTTATTATCTGCAACACGAACTTAAATCTTTTCCCTCGGACTCAAAGAGCTGATGGGTGGACCACAGCGGATACGGATGTTGGGGGGACGCTGCTTAGCTTAGCTTATCACTCGATTTTACTTATGGCAATGCCATTTAATTATATTGCTATATATATGTATTTAATCATAAAATCCATATATCAGTGCACTCGCAGATAAACATATAAACATAGTTCTGGCTTTATGGCCCTGACATTGAGGTTTTTGTGTCTTGGCCTGTTGTTGTGCTTTTGCAAATGTCAACAGTGCGTATGGGTAACCGCAGAAGGAACTGGAATAAGCGTCATAAAACCGTTGAGGATTTAGAGGGCGTGGCAGGACAGAATGCGGTTTATATGGCATAGCCAATTATTAAATTTGCCGCTCCTTGCAAAGCTGTAAATGTGCGAATATGAATACACTATAATAAGTAAAGTACCTTCGTTCGTCAGCCTGGAATATAAAGTACTTCACCATCATGTGGGGAAGGCATCTAATATACATATTTCTTCTATAAATCTGCCAACGTCACTGCTTCCATCCTTGCATTGTCATTGTGTACAGATTTGTTTATGTGGCACTCAGCTAATTTAATTTACTAAGCAATTATTGTTGTTTCATTTTAAACAATGTGAAATCCCTGTTCAATTATTTTCTGTTTTTAATACCTGTGGGGAGAGCTGGAAAACAAAAACAAATTTACTTAGTTTTTATAATGATAATTTCTCACAGCGAGAGAAAATTCGCAGTTTTCTATGTATAGTGCAAACAATTTTCAAGCTTCAGTCAATTCACTTTATATGTGTTTTCATCCGTAGTTCTTATACCACATCAAATTAAATTAATTGGATATATTTTGCAATAAATTTACCTATCATTGATTACCCATCAAGCCAGGATAAATTCACTTAATGCGTACATTTTCATTGAGTTTATTTAAATATGAAAGACACTCAGATGGCGGATTTACATTTTTGCGACTGTATTGTCTCTAACGAAAAACTCAATTAGGCTTTCGCCTGATTTATGGTCGAGGCAAATCGCATATACAAATTATGTTAATGCAATTGGTTTGCTCTCCTCTATAAATAAACGTTATGACAATTTGATATTGGCTTTGCGGACAGCTTTGTTTTGGCCCATTCCCCAGCATTATCCTGAGACGACGAGGGTCTTGGCTCCCACTTTGTTTGGCTGGCTATATTTAGGTCGGAGTCGGAGAACCAGGATTCCGGGAGTAGGGAGTAGGATGCCCTCTAATGGAATTACCGCTGTGTTATCTGCCCAATGTTTTGGCGGACAGACGCCCAACGCCGCCGACGTCGACGACGACCCAAGTCCAAAAATACGAGCACAATGCACGTAATTACATGGTTTTCGGCCAGGAGCAGTCGAACCCCAGGCTCCTCCTTTTTCGGCCAGGACAAGTCTTGTCTATGACCATTGAGCGGGCGCCACAATGAGCCGGCTGCACTAAGCTAAATGAAAAATGCTGAACTCGTTGATGGCCCCATACCGACTACGACTCGTCTCGCTACCTCTCACAGCTCTTATTCAAATTACAATTCATTATGGCGAGCAGAATAAAAAATGACAGCCACGCTCCCATGGCGCACATTTTTAGAGTGAGTTCAATAGACGAGATTGGAAAGCGAATACTCAGCAGAAAAAGGCTTAAGGATGGCGGCATCCTGCGTGTGCGAATTAATCAGCGGAGATATTTGCATGACGAGAGCTGTGAGCTCCCTAAAAACGGTGTCGTCATCGTCGCCTCTGCACGACAGCTTGATGATTGCCATTATCCTTGACGGCTCAGCGCCGTCAGCGGCATCTGGAGCTGTTGCTCCTGCTTCAGCTACTGCTCTAACTTTATCTATAAACACCCTTTGTTGGGACTCCCCTCTTGCAGGTTCATTGCCATCTGGTGGCCCCTGAAGCAGATGACAAAGCGACGTGCCCGCATCATGATAATAGGCATATGGGTAATCGCGCTGGTGACTACCATACCGTGGCTGCTCTTCTTCGACCTGGTGCCCGCCGAGGAGCTCTTCTCCGACACCCTGCTGTCGGCCTACTCCCAGCCGCAATATCTATGCCAGGAGGTCTGGCCCCAGGGCACCAACGGCAACCTGTACTTCCTGCTGGCCAACTTGGTTGCCTGCTACCTGCTGCCTATGTCCTTGATCACCCTGTGCTACGTGCTCATCTGGTTCAAGGTCTCCACGCGCTCGATACCCGGTGAGTCGAAGGACGCACAAATGGACCGAATGCAACAGAAAAGCAAGGTGAAGGTCATCAAGATGCTGGTGGCGGTTGTCATTCTCTTCGTGCTCTCCTGGCTGCCACTCTATGTCATCTTCGCGCGCATCAAGTTCGGTTCAGACATCTCGCCACAGGAACTGGAGGTCCTCAAGAAGGTGATCCCGTTGGCCCAGTGGCTGGGCTCCTCGAACAGCTGCATAAATCCGATTTTGTATTCGGTGAATAAGAAGTACCGCCGTGGGTTTGCAGCCATCATAAAGTCACGTAGCTGCTGCGGACGCCTCAGGTCAGTAGATCTTTTTGGAATATAGGTCTCTGGCTTATGAAACCATTATTTAAATATCTATCAATTAGTTTAGAATTACCCCAATAGAAACTTCTCTTTAAAACACCATACATTTTCGTTTAACAGGTACTACGACAACGTGGCTATCGCATCCAGCACGACCAGCACTCGGAAGTCGTCGCACTACCACCAGAACAGCTCCCGAAAGAGTCCGGGCAGCAAGGGCAACGCCGTATCCTACATCTACGAGCACAACTCGCTGAGACGCCACAACATGATGCTCAAGCAGGACAGCAACCTGTCGCAGCAGATGCTGCTCAAGCAGGACTCGCACGGTTCGCGGCAGTTCCTCATCAAGCAGGAGAGCTCGTGCAGCGACGCCTCCGGCATCCGGCGACCGCTATGCCAGCAGGACAGCAATGGATCCAAGGTGTCGCTCTCCAAGCAGGATTCGATCGTCTCCTACATGGAATCGCGCCGTGCAGGTGGACTTAACGACTCACTGACAGACAGGGACAGTGTTTCGATTGACTCCCGACGTCCGGGGGCCACTCCGATTTCCCTGCTGGATAAGCGTCAGAAATTTGTCAAGCAGGATTCGGTGATCTCATTCGTTGACCAGCGTCCTGAGCAGAGGCGTCATCAGCTTGTTAAGCAGGATTCGGTTATCTCCTTTGCCGACCAGAGGCGCGGCCTGCTCCACAAGCAGGACTCGCTGATGGCCAATCGCACGGGTGATGCACCCACCCACCATGTCTCCATACTGAAGAAGACGGACTCGCAGCTCAGCTACGGAAGTTCGGCTTCTCCGCGCCGAAATGCGGCTCTATACGAATAGGTTTAAATGGGACAAAAACTAAACTCCAAACTATTGTAGTAACAGCCTAAAAATAAGAAGGTCGACTTGGTTAAACAATGCCATGTGGGGAATAGGTAAGCCAAGGACATTTGTAAGCAATATAAAACACCAAATTCTTCTTTATATTTTTAGCTATATCTTCTTTATAATTTTTTGAGTTATAGTGCTTCCAACATGTCCAAACTTACCTATTTCCCATTACATTTTTTTGGCCAATAAGTCGATCCGTTTTAACACGCAAACTAACGCAACGATACCAAAAAACGTTACCGAACCACAAAGGAAAATCCTTATATATTTCTATATAGCAGCTAGACATTATGGATTGAACGAACGAGGGATACGATAGGTGATATGGATAGCCCCACGACTGTGATACAAGTCGACAGTACTGGGTTCAGAACTTGGTCGCACATATCCGTCATCGTCGTGGAAACTGCGGGATAGTGCCAGTAGGGAGGGCCATCGGGATGGACCAATAGGGGTATATAGTGGGTATATCTAATCAGAGGTCGCTTAGCTAGAAACCGAAACGCCACACACGACACGGGAAACAGGACTTCACACACTCACACACACCATAGGCATAGACATAGACATAGACACACACACTCCTCACAAACCTAATAGTTAATAGATGTTTTATACGTGTTTCAGAAGGTACTACACAAGATATGAACTACTCCTTGGCTATGGCTATGGCTATATATAATACCTATATGTACCGTTACGCAGTTTTAAGATTGTTTGTACTCGCAATTTGCTATATCGAATAAATTGAAAGGTGGGAGCTAAAGGGAGGCGGAAAGCGAAAGGGGTTAAAATAGCTTTGCTAAACTTTTTGTACGAATGCAAGAACTTGAGTGAATAAAATGGGGCAAGTCCAGTATCATAGTTGGGGAGAAGACGCAAACGAAACAAAACAAAATGAGATAACACCGAGGTCTAAAGTAACGTACCTACTAAATTTTTGTATGGAAATTCTTACAATTTATACATATATATTTATATTGATTTTGGAATAAGCAATATGCAATACATGCGTATGTCTGCGCGTACGCCTTGTATATCTATCAAACAACAATAATCAATTTTATTAGAATTTTACACAACCGAATCGGGGCAAGGAAATGGTTAGTAAACGCAATACAACAACGGATAAGGCAATGGATGGCCCAACATCGCATCCAGATCGGATTAGATATTGACAATTAATTCAATATCGATGGACAGTGGCAGTGAGGAAGGCATCGAACGCGCACAAAGTAGCACTTGACCATGCTGACATTAACGTGGGACACAGGCGATGGGAACGGGGTTAGATTAGGGATTAGGGCTAGTTTAGGGTTAGGCGGGGCGGACGGACACGTTGGAGTTGGGGTCTAGATGGGGTGACCCAAAAGTGAGCACAAAGCAGTCAAAGATTTCGCACTAAACGTATCACTACAAACTAACAAAGAAGCAAACAATAATCGAACTCAAATTCGTTAAACACTAAACAACACCAATGAACTTTAAACTATGAAATAAAATTTTAACGGATAACACGTGGAGCAGAAGGAGCCGATGGATATGAAGGATATGAGAAACCAATGGTATAACTATGAAACTAAACGTAAAGATTAACTATGCAATTTTATTGTTAGCCAAAATTTTATAAATGTCAAGTAACGAACAAGTAAATATTTATATGTATACAGAATATATCAAGTATAAAGCGTACGTTATATATCTTTATATACTTCGATGGCATTAGTTTAACCGTAACTCGTACTCCCTAGTCTCCATTTAGACTTGGGGTAGCTTAAAGCCCATTCCAAGAATCGAACAAGTTGGACGAGAACGAACCACGATAAAGACACTCGCGGGCCGTTCAAAACTCCAGCGCTTAATGCAAGGCAAGAATCTACAATGAGGAATATCAATAATATATTTCAAATATACATACATATATTTATATAGGCTTAACGACTCATATGCCAGCTGTATCGAACAACAACAACGTCTAGTAAACAAAAGATTACATTTATACGAAATACATATTATATGCTGCAAGTACGTAAGGGCGCGCAATAGAAATGTCCTTTTCCGCTTTCGATTCCACTTAAAGACGAACCGATTGAACAAGGAGCAGGATTAAAACAAACTTAATATTTAATGAATAAACCAAATTGAACTTTAGGTTTTAAAGTTTTAAAACGTAGAGCATACCCATACACACAGACATACATGTGCATTATGTTCGTTATTTAACAATTGTGGATAATACAAATATAAAACCGATCGCGCGTTAACCAGTTACAAAAACAAAAGCATGACATTAATGGCAACACAATATTATATATGTAAATATATGTCTTTATGTATACATACATATATATGTATATTTATCGCATACAACTAACACCAAAGATACATGCATGTTAGCAGAAATAATAAATAAATAAAATAAATAATAACTATAAGCTAAACCGTTTTTCTTTAAATGCGCGCCTTAGGTATGAATAGGCGATATCGATAAGCGATGGTATATCGGTAAGTAGGTAGTAGACCGAAATGGAAAAAATTAAAACTAGTAACTAAACTATATTTATATTACAGTTGTATGTAAGAAAAGCGACGTTAACATTTGAATTAAAAACCCCTTTCAAATTTTGTAACGGAGTGTATAAATCGATATGATATAAAAATATATATGTGTGGTAGATCGAATGGACAATCGAATTAAAACTATCTTCGTAGTTAGTTTACAGCACAAAATTATAATATAGAACAAAGGTCAAAGAAACGTCGAAGTAACCCTTACAATTCAAGGTAATATTCACCAAAAGCTGTGGCAAACTTTGTCAAGTTCTTTTTATTTAAAATCTCCGCCAAATAGTTATCAAGTATTCGATTCGCGTTATCATTATCGGTCTAAGCAAAGAAACTGACCTCCAGCAGATCATTGCCCAATTAGTTTGATACAAACGTAGTCGTACCATGGATCGCTGGAGGAATCGTGTTGCCGTCGTCACTGGGGCCAGCTCTGGAATCGGAGCAGCCTGCTGTCGGGATCTGGTGGCCAAGGGAATGGTCGTCGTGGGATTGGCCAGAAGGGAAGAACGCCTCAAAGAGCTTAAATCTTCACTGCCCGCAGACCAGGCAGCCAATTTTTACGGCCGTCGCTGCGATGTTAGCGATGAGCAACAGGTTAAAGAGGCCTTCGCATGGGTCGATCAAGATCTTGGAGGCGCCGATGTGCTGGTCAATAACGCTGGCATAATACGACCCATTAGAGTTATGGATGAGGACAACTCGGAAGCTTTAAAGGCTATCCTAGACACCAATGTGCTGGGTGTAACTTGGTGCACCAGGCAGATGTTCCGATCTCTGCTGCGCCGCAAGGTTAACGATGGTCACGTGGTTATCATCAACAGTATTGTTGGCCACAAAGTGCCCATGATGGAAGGCTTGAACATGTATGCTCCCTCCAAGCACGCGATCACCGCCTTAACCGAAGTCCTGCGCCAGGAGTTCATAAAGAGCGGTACCCAGACTAAGATCACAGTGAGTTCAGGTTCATCTATCCATACTAAGTATAAATAATCCCTCTAATTTTCATTACAGAGTATCAGCCCCGGCGTTGTGAACACCGAAATCTTCGGTTCGAGCTCCATCGAGTTGAGCAGTGCGATGCCCATGCTTCGATCCGAGGATATCGCCGACGCAGTGTCTTATTGTATCCAGACGCCCCCGAATGTTCAGATACATGAGCTTACTATCAAGCCAGTTGGAGAGCGCTTCTAGAATAGCCGCTTTTTCTTGATAAGGAAACCAACTCATACAAATGAATATGCATCAAAATTTACTGCTCACAAAATAAATAACCAAAGTTGCAGCTAACAATCTTTAAATAAATATGCAAAGGAAATAAACAGAGTATCAAAATGAATGTAGCACTGTACTTAAACTTGGGGAGAGGGTCGGGTCATTTTTAATTCAAAGTATTAAGCGTGGAAAGCACTTCTAAAGCAGCCACTGCTTCTCGACAGATAACCAAATGCCCATATTTAGTCTTAAAGAGTAATGTAAAGTAATAGCTTTAAGCTTCATATATTAAAATATGTGTAATGGTATTCAGCGTTTCTAAAGTGTCGCTTTTCAATAAGGAAACCTAATAACCTTTATTAGGTAAACAATAAAATAATCAACATAATCATATTGCATCAGCACAGTAAATGTTCAGATATACGATTTTACAATCGAACCACTTAGAGAGCACTTCTGAAGTTCCACCTGTTTATTGATAAGGAAACCAAATGCCCTTATTTAGTCATTTCAATAATAAACAATCAAAGTAAGCGAAAGGCCAATAAACACACATACAAAACAAATAATCAGATAAAAACAGTTCTAAAGGGTGAAATGTATGTAATACATTCTGAGATACGCGACAAACACCAAACTCGGCTTAAATTTATAAATAAACTTACAATCGCAAGCATGCTTATAATTTTTATTGCGATTAGATTTTCAAAAAATATTTATTGCAAATATAAAAACTAACTTTGAATTTAAAAAACGATAGCACTTTAGGCTTATCTATTCGTTATGAACTATCGATAACGTTCGAACAGTTAGCCCTATCGGTAGCACGTTCGGAACGTTGTACAACACTAGCCAGCAGTCGTAGTTCTTGTCGGGATTGTTTTTTTAGTTTAATATTTCTTAACTTTTAAACTGTTAATTACCCAATTGGTCAGCCTTTCAAAATTGCAACTAATTCGAATAACCTACTTTTCACGGTTATCACCGCCGTCGCGTTTCCTTGCGCCCACAAAAGCTAATTCAATTAACCACGCACACAGAGACATCTAGCCTGCGTCATAAGCTATTTTCGTCCAGAAATCCAAAATCCGGACAATATGGATCCACAACAGAAGTCCGAGGTGGTGGCCACCGTAGCTCCCCTGCTGGAGGATCAGCTGGACATGGCCGACACCATGAAACATTGCTTCGAAAATCTCATTGTTATTGACGTGGGTGCAAATTTGACGAACAAAAAGTATAGCCGTGATCTTGACTCCGTCGTCCAGCGAGCCAGAGATGCAGGTATGACCACACATGATCTCTGACTTTCTGTTGTCAGCTGTGCCAGATTAATTATAAAACCCGGGCAGTGTCTTCGTTTTGGGGCGAGGCTACGAAAACACCCCAGACAACTGCCAGAAGGTCAGGCGATAAGTGCGAGCAACAAGTGTGCCGCTCTTACAGTCAAACTTTTATAGCTCGAACATAATAATAAGGGTCAGTTTCTTACATAGTATGAAAATTAAACAAAACTAGGAAAGGACTAGGAATATTTATAATTTATAGAGACAGTTAAGACTAACCCTTTTTAGAAACAAGACCTTATATTACTAATATATACTTAGGGCTTTCAGAAGCAAGACCACTTTGTTTTTACCCTTCTATTAAATTTATAATTCTTAAAAACTATTAGATGTCCAGACAAAAGTCACGTTTTTTTTATCTCTTTCCAATTACTACTGTTTCATAGCTTCGATGTCTCCATAAATCTAGTTTCTTTGTTTTAGATGCTGATGCAAGCGATGAAAGTTCGAGCATAAAGTCGCGATGTGGCACAGTGATGCAAGATGCATTTGCTAACTTTCTCCACTCCTATCTTTTAGGTGTTCAAAAACTCATGGTTCACGGCACTTCGGTCAAATCAAGCAAGGAAGCGCTGCGCCTCTCGCGCATCTATCCCGACATCATCTACTCGACTGCTGGCATCCATCCACACGACTCCAAGTCCATCGTGGAGGAGCCGGCCACATGGTTCGACCTGGAGCACATTGCCCAGGCACAGGAGTGCGTGGCGGTTGGTCCCTGCGGCCTGGACTACCAGAGGGACTTCTCCGAACCGGACGCCCAAAAGCAGATATTTGCCAAGCAGCTGCATCTGGCCATCCGGCTGAATAAACCTCTGCTGATCCACGAGCGGTCGGCTCAAAATGATTTACTCGAAATACTCGACAAGTATGATACATGTTTTTCTTTGTTCCGTTTTCAACAAGTTTATGTTGCAGATTCGAGAATCTACCGCCTGTTATCGTCAGAGGTTTCATGGGCACCGCCGAGGAGGCACTCAAGTATCTAGACCGCAGGTTCTACATCAGCCTGACTGGCTACCTGTGCAAGGATAAATCGGATACGGGCGTGCGACGGCTACTGGAGGATGGCACTTTACCGCTGGACAGACTGCTGGTGGAAACGGATGCTCCGTTCATGTACCCAAATACGAGGGCATCCAAGTTGCCGCAGCACGTTAAGACTGGCATCACCGAACGATCATTGTTGTACTTACACAGGTGAGTTTGATCAGATAAAAACGTGTGGTACTTTTCTCTAACTGTGTTTTTTGTAGATATTGTACCTTCCAACGCAACGAGCCCTGCAGTCTGCCCGCCATCGTGGAAATGATAGCCGCCTTTATGAAGAAAACGCCAGAGGAAGTTGCTCTGGCCACCGCCTTTAATGCCTTGAAGCTCTTCGGATTGTCCTAAGCAAACTGGTGCCCTGGAACTGAACGAAAAAGTGTGCCAACCAGCAGCTTTATACCCGTATCATTATAGATTGAACGAGCCTGAGATTAACGATAGACTCACACACCCACGTGCCTTAACCACTAATCGAATTCGGGATGAAGCGCTTATCCTGAGATCCCTACACACAAACACATTCATTTATACGAACCCCACATAGCATGCGAAAAGTACGTATACGTATATATCTATATTAGCCCGTAAAGGTGCAAATTATCGATCGAGATTTGCAAGGTCTAGCTTTAAGTTGTTGGGAATTCCCCGAGCAATTGCCCCCGGACACCCCTCCCCAAGAAACGGTGCCAAGGTGGTGCCGGATTCGCACTGGTTCGGCGTTTCACGCCTCGAAGCGCGCGCTTCGAAATCACTAGGTTTAGTTATGTGCTGCAGCTCGTCTTTTGTTTGATTCTTTTGTATTTAGACTGTAGACTCATTACTTTTAGTTGTGTCCCTTGTTAGCCTGTAGTCTTGTTTTTTGTACATATTTATTCTTGTTGTTCTACGTGACGAGTTGACGATGATGATGATGATTATGGGAAACGTAATGTGATCATTTTAAGAGCTAAATATTTATATATTTAACATACCAACAAACACATTAGTTAGGCTATGAAACATACATATTGAATATCATGCGCCTATACATACTATATTTTGTTATATTTACATATACAAAAGCGTTGTACTGAACTGATCCGACTCCGACCCACGGAGTTGCCTCAATCCGCTTTGTGCCCATTGTCCGCACTCAGCGCACACACTATTTTCCATTTCAATAAAGCGAATATAAAACCCAAACGAACAACGGAACGCTTTGAGTTACCGTAACTCGTATATTTTTGGTTCGTTAGCACACTTAAAAGCGCTGAATATTTTTTAGGTCCTCAAACTGCTCCAACCTATGCAAATTGTCCCACCACAGCTTCAAACGGTGCTGCAGTATCAGGGAGAACCACGGGGTCAAGGGCGCACCGAACTTGGCCACTGCCTCGTCGATCTTGTCGCGCCGCAGGTATCGTACCTCGCTCACCTCATTGCTGTTTGGCCGTAGGGTCACATCCTTCTGCAGGAACAGGATGTAGTCGATTTCATGCTCGCCCCATACGCCATCTCCTGTGTCCGCATAATGGATGCGTGTGAGGTACCGAAAGTCCTCGGGCTGTAGCTCCTCAGTGGGTATGCCCAGTTCGTAGTTCAGACGACGCTGCGCGGCCAGTCGGATGCCAAGAGCATTGCTCTCCTCGCGCTCCTGCTCGATTTCGTGAAGCGGATGGCTACAGCAGGCGTTTGTGTAGGTATTCGGAAAGGTTATCTGCAACGTGGAGTTGTCTGAGAAATCTGTATTAAGAGAATTTCTCTTTGTTTTACCTTATGAGATGAACGCTTTTGCACCAACATCTCGCCTTTGGCGTTGAAGAGAAATACGCTGAAGGCGCGGTGCAATCGGACATCGCCCGTTTTGGGATCCACTCGGTGGCAGTCGGCCTTGGAAGCTGCACCAATGGATCTATCGTTTTCGTCCACCAGGATGCACTGCTCCTTGAGGGCATGCGCCTGCAGCGGATCGTGCACGGCCTCCGCGGGCACCTGGCGCTGCTGCTGCTGGCCCACGGCCGTTGTCGAGCAGCCGCGCAGCCAGGAGAGTCGCGGTGTGAGGAGATTCAGGCGTGAAGCCAACATTATTTGGTAAATGACTAGTTTCAAGTGGGGCCAAAACAAATATGAAAGTGAAACTTCGTAATACAGCGCTAGCGAGCTAGCCTGCCAACTCGCCCCATTTCCCCACCAGCCGCTTGCAACACTGGCGCTGGAACAGCTGTTTCAAAGTCGCGGTAGCCCTGGCTATAGTGATACACAATTTGCTCATAATCAGTTTTTCGCTTCCGCCGCTGGAAGATAAAATTGTAAATAGCAACGTAGCTGCCTGACTAAATCCCGGGAAAATGGTAAGCAACCAATAAGCATAATGTGGGAAACTGTTTTCAAACGTCTTATCCCCCAGATTCGCTTCATACTGATACAAAACCGAGCTGGCAAAACTCGCCTGGCCAAATGGTACATGAACTTCGATGATGACGAGAAACAAAAACTTATTGAGGAGGTGCATGCAGTGGTCACGGTTCGCGATGCAAAGCACACCAACTTCGTAGAGGTAGGCCCCATGTCCAAGCCCAACATGAATTCTCTGTTAATCCCTATTTCCCACTGCAGTTCCGCAATTTCAAGATTGTGTACCGACGATATGCGGGCCTGTATTTCTGCATCTGCGTGGACGTGAACGACAATAACCTGTGCTATCTAGAGGCCATCCACAACTTCGTGGAGGTGCTGAACGAATACTTCCATAATGTGTGCGAGCTGGACCTCGTCTTCAACTTCTACAAAGTGTACAGCGTAGTGGACGAGATGTTCCTGGCGGGCGAGATCCGTGAAACCTCCCAAACAAAGGTGCTCAAGCAGCTGCTGACGCTGAATTCGCTGGAGTAGAGACAGGAGGTCTTGTCCTCCAGATCGACAAATCGCCCGATCGCCAGCATTCCCCTAGCCCAGGCCAGGCGTTATACCCGCTTATCGAATCTTCTTTCATATACTATTACGCGTATTATTATTATTATCTATAATGTGTTCTATATGCAAGCAAAACACTCAAATGTTAAATACCGTGTTTAGAAACAAATGATGTACCATAAGAGATTGTATGCAAGTGCAAAGTACCAGAGCCATTTATTATTTTATTGGGGGTGTGGGACTGGTATTCGATTTTTTCCCCTAGGTTCCGCCCACTCACCTCCGATGGCCAGTGGCAGCCCGCAGCCCTGGTTCGGCCGCGTTTTCCAACACTGCCGCACACTAATGCCACTTCGTCATTTTTTCAGTCGCCATTGTTCTCGTTCTCGGCCGTCGAATTTGTGGAAATAAACGTATTTCCCTTTGAAATTCGCTGCAATAAATAGAAAAACGAGCCACCAAGCCCAACACTAACAGAGTGCGTGTCGTTTTGAAGTAATTCGGAGCGCGCAAGTCGAGTGAAAACAGTGACAACACCGTCAGCCAGTCCACACACAGCCAGAAATCGAATATTTGTTCGTGGCAAATATATAATCTTGTGAAAAAGCCAGAAAATGTCATCTGTGAATCCGGAATAGTAAGTCGTCACATGCAGCAATTGCGCATAATTGGGTTTGGGAACAACAGTGACTGGTTTTCCATTTCGAAACTCGCCAGCGCCAGCCTTCGTTAATCGTTTCATTTATTTTTCTGCGACGTCATTTTGCTACGTTTCATAGCCATTCCATTCATCAGCTCTCTCGACCCCTCCACTCCCTTTTTGCTGGCGTTGGCAACTCCAAAGGCACACAATTCTTTTGGACAAGCGAGAATTAATAATAACCGCCCCGAACTAGAGTCGAAAGTGTGTGTTTTACTCCTAGGATATATGCGAGGCTTCAATGAAAATGCATACATACTTACATACATAGGAGCGGCAGCTGATAGCCCACTGTGTACGCCCGAGAAATATATCGTCAGTTCACTCTCTGATTCGTCCAGCACATCCAATGTTGTCGGATCCCAGCAAGCCATAGGGCGGATGAGTCACCTGCCTGGAGCGCGCGTTCGCCTTCCCCAGCCCCTGATGTCTACATTGTTTGTTGCTCTCCGCCGCTACGTAATCAAAAACCCATTCTAAACTTAATTGCTTGGAGCTATCACTTTAAAACAATTAAAGCTGGGATCTTGATTTTCCCTTATTCGGGAAACTGTCCATCGACTGCAACCTTCTCAAAAGCATACAAAATTTACCGCTAGCAAAACCAAACAAACTGCAGTGCCCTCTCTATACGGTAAACCATTAAAAAACATGGGTATTCCGTAAATACTACTTTCTAAAGAATTTATAAATCTAAATAGGCTGAATACTTTAAGAAAACCTTAAAAAATACATAATTTGATCTGAAAACAATAAAAACCCCATGTTTGTATTGAAAATAGCAACAAAAATAAAAAGAAAATGTTCGTTACAATTAAAATTTAAATTATTCGCACTTGAATAAGCTTGAAGAAATCGTATTTGTGACAGTTTTCTGATCAAAATGGCTTTCATAATTAAATTACTGCTCTGATCTCAGAAATCTCTGGAAGAAATTGCTCAAGGCCTTACATACTGCTCTCCTCTCTTAAGTTTATCAGCGAAAACTTTTCTCATAGGTTTCCCTAGAGTCCCATTCTCAGCCTTATTTAAAATTATTCTAAGTCAGCTGGTCAGTATTTGATGAAAACAAACTTTTGTTTTCGGTTTACAATTCACACAATTTTCTTTAATTTGAATTGCGAACACACGGGCCCATTATCACACATCACACTTCAACAGCCTGAAATAGGGGGTTGATGTTGGTCATATATCGATAAGATAAAGCCTCGTAGAAACCGGTTTTATTTGAATATACATATATTCACAGACTAACCAGAGTTCTTTTCCTATCCCACAGCGATTATCTCTTTAAACTGCTGCTTATTGGTGATTCGGGCGTTGGAAAGTCCTGTCTGCTGCTGCGATTTGCCGATGACACATATACAGAAAGCTATATCAGCACAATTGGTGTGGACTTTGTAAGTTAACTAGAAAGTTGTGAAAACTGTTAACGTGTGTGACTCATAAAACCTTTATCTTGCAGAAAATAAGGACCATAGAGTTGGACGGCAAGACCATTAAACTGCAAATTGTAAGCATAAAGACGATAAAGTTGAAGCACTCATGCTAATGCGACTCTTTACAGTGGGACACTGCTGGCCAGGAGCGCTTCCGGACCATCACGTCGTCATACTATCGAGGCGCGCATGGCATCATCGTTGTATACGATTGCACGGACCAGGAGTCCTTCAACAATGTGAAGCAGTGGCTGGAGGAGATCGAGCGGTATGCCTGCGAGAACGTTAACAAGCTGCTGGTGGGCAACAAGAGCGATTTGACCACCAAGAAGGTCGTTGAGCATACCACAGCTGCGGTGCGTATATAGTGTTTTTTGAATCCGGAAAGATATGTTTACTGAATAAGTTTCGTCTTTGCAGGAGTACGCTGCTCAGTTAGGCATTCCATTCCTTGAAACTTCGGCCAAGAGCGCTACCAACGTGGAGCAGGCCTTCATGACGATGGCGGCCGAGATCAAGAATCGCGTCGGACCGCCGTCCAGCGCCACCGATAATGCTAGCAAAGTGAAAATCGATCAAGGACGTCCAGTGGAAAACACCAAATCCGGTTGCTGCTGAATAACTCTGATTGTGAATCATTATTTTATTATACAATTAAACAAAATTTAAATATAATAAATTAAAACGGAAACCACACAACAATAATAATAAAACAAAAACAAAAGCAACGGCTAGACCACAAAAAAAGTAATTATAATACTTAAAAATTCTGTAATAATAATAATGATGAGGAATGACGAGTAGTGCGTTTATATGATCCTAACCGTGATCCGATTCGATACACACTTTAAGCAAATATGTAATAGGTATGTAGCCAACCAGATCCAGACTTCAGACATCTCCACAAACACATACTCACACAAACCACAACAAGGATACAGGATACTGAGCCTGATACTAACCGTCTTTCTGATTTCAGCTGTTCTGTTCATAAGTAGTGCAAAGCGAGCAAAAACGGTGTAGCAATTAACTTAATATACATAAATCTAACCTACAGTAAGAAGTTACTTATCACAGCAGCGCGAAGGTCGTTACCGTTACCGAAACCGATATGTACTATTAATTACTACACATACGCATTAATTGAGCGGAGACGACACAACGGCAAGAGCAATTATGTACTGTGTCAGCTACTACTTATAACCATGTATACATATGTATGTGTTTTAAATTACAAATACAATTTTCTAAACATATTATCTCTAGCGAACCTGCTCGCCACACTTGTCTGTCATATTATTAAAATTTGATGTAAGTCGCAAGGAAACCAGAACCGAACGAACATTTTTAGAATTAGCGAACAACCGAATCGTGTGTTTGACTTTTTGTGTGACGCAAGGGATTTGTTTAGGCACCTAATTAGTGTAATAATAATGACGACATAGCGATGAAGTTTAATAAAAATGATTGCGTGAGCGTAAATTGAAATGGAAAGGTTTGGGATCAATGGACATAAGTACACGCCCTTAGTTTCGGTTTTCACTGTCGCTTGAGCCAAAATAAAATCATTCTGTACCAATGCCTATAAACGAATTGTTTTATTCCATTCATTTTGGACAGTTTCCAAAGGCATACATACGTAAGTGAAGGCCGAAACAAATTTGCACACAAATAAACACTCTTGGCACACACTTTTTGTCAGGGTGAGCCGATTTGTATACCCGCAATGAAAAAACAGGAAAACAAGAAAGGAAATAAACTTCGGGAAGCCAAAGTGTATACCCGTGAAGTTAACAAATTAATTTTAGGATCAAATCAAAAATCGATCATAACTAAGCTTAAAATTTTCGCATCTTTAAAACCGATATTTGTCAATATTTTTTTATGTAAAATTTTTCGACAAATCAATGTTTGAAAATCCCATAAATTAGATAAAAATCCATTAATTTCACTCTGGAAAACTTTTCTATATTAGTTTTTATTAGGTTAATAAATCTGCATACTCAATATAACATTTTAAGAAAATCGATTTTTTTCCCTTTTTGCACTATTAAATTTTCATACTGCGTTTGTTGATGCTATTGTTAGTTTCTGTTTGAATTATAAAACCCTGCAAAAAGGTATAAAAACAGACATTTTTGTCCAAAAATCATAGTTTTAAAAACGCTCAACTAATCCAAAAAACCATTAAACTTAATTCGGAAAGCTGTTCTATGCTAATTTTTAATACATTAACCAATCTGCATACTCAGTTTTTAAAATTAAAAATTTCAATTTTTTGTCAAATTTTGACAATTTTAATGATGTACAATTTTATAATTTCAAACAGAAACTAACAATAGCATCAACAAACGCAGTATGCAGATTTAATAGTGAAATAAAAACTAGCACCGAAAAGCTTTCCGAATTAATATTAATGAAATTTCGGCCTAATTATAGTGTCCGAAAAACTTAAATTTAAAAAAAAACTTGTCTGTCTTTATACCTTTTTGCTGGGTATAATTTCAGTCCGAAGCTTGTAACGCTATGAAGGAATCATTTCAGACCCTACAAACCATATATATTCTTGACCAGCATCAAAAGCTGAGTCGATCTAGCCATGTCCGGTCGAAAAATAAATTTTTGAAATTTTTTAGAAAATTTAAAATTTTATAAGGGGTTACATCATTAAAATTGTCAAAATTTGACAAAAAATTGAATTTTTTAAATTTAAAAACTGAGTATGCAGATTTGTTAATGTATTAAAAACTAGCATAGAACAGCTTTCCGAATTAAGTTAAATGGTTTTTTGGATTAGTTGTGCGTTTTTTTAAACTATGATTTTTGGACCAAATTGCTTGTTTTTATACCTTTCTGCCGGGTTTTATAATTTCAAAGAGAAACTAACAATAGCATCAACAAAGGCAGTATGCAGATTTAATAGTGCAATAAAAACTAGCACAGAAAAGCTTTCCAAATTAAAATTAATGAAATTTCGGCCTAATTGTAGTGTCCGAAAAACTTAGATTTTTCAAAGAACTTGTCTGTTTTTATACCATTTTGCTGGGTATAATTTTAGTCCGAAGCTTGTAAAGCTGTGAAGGAATCATTTCAGACCCTACAAACCATATATATTCTTGGCCAGCATCAAAAGCTGAGTCGATCTAGCCATGTCCGGTCGAAAAATAAATTTTTGAAATTTTTTAGAAAATTGAAAATTTTATAAGGGGTTACATCATTAAAATTGTCAAAATTTGACAAAAAATTGAATTTTTTAAATTTAAAAACTGAGTATGCAGATTTGTTAATGTATTAAAAACTAGCATAGAACAGCTTTCCGAATTAAGTTAAATGGTTTTTTGGATTAGTTGTGCGTTTTTTAAACTATGATTTTTGGACCAAATTGCTTGTTTTTATACCTTTCTGCCGGGTTTTATAATTTCAAAGAGAAACTAACAATAGCATCAACAAAGGCAGTATGCAGATTTAATAGTGCAATAAAAACTAGCACAGAAAAGCTTTCCGAATTAAAATTAATGAAATTTCGGCCTAATTGTAGTGTCCGAAAAACTTAGATTTTTCAAAAAAACTTGTCTGTCTTTATACCTTTTTGCTGGGTATAATTTCAGTCCGAAGCTTGTAACACTATGAAGGAATCATTTCAGACCCTACAAACCATATATATTCTTGACCAGCATCAAAAGCTGAGTCGATCTAGCCATGTCCGGCCGAAAAATAAATTTTTGAAATTTTTTATAAAATTGAAAATTTTATAATTTTTGTCAAAATTTGACAAAAAATTGAATTTTTTAAATTTAAAAACTGAGTATGCAGATTTGTTAATGTATTAAAAACTAGCATAGAACAGCTTTCCGAATTAAGTTAAATGGTTTTTTGGATTAGTTGTGCGTTTTTTTAAACTATGATTTTTGGACCAAATTGCTTGTTTTTATACCTTTCTGCCGGGTTTTATAATTTCAAAGAGAAACTAACAATAGCATCAACAAAGGCAGTATGCAGATTTAATAGTGCAATAAAAACTAGCACAGAAAAGCTTTCCGAATTAAAATTAATGAAATTTCGGCCTAATTGTAGTGTCCGAAAAACTTAGATTTTTCAAAAAAACTTGTCTGTCTTTATACCTTTTTGCTGGGTATAATTTCAGTCCGAAGCTTGTAACACTATGAAGGAATCATTTCAGACCCTACAAACCATATATATTCTTGACCAGCATCAAAAGCTGAGTCGATCTAGCCATGTCCGGTCGAAAAATAAATTTTTGAAATTTTTTAGAAAATTGAAAATTTTATAAGGGGTTACATCATTAAAATTGTCAAAATTTGACAAAAAATTGAATTTTTTAAATTTAAAAACTGAGTATGCAGATTTGTTAATGTATTAAAAACTAGCATAGAACAGCTTTCCGAATTAAGTTAAATGGTTTTTTGGATTAGTTGTGCGTTTTTTTAAACTATGATTTTTGGACCAAATTGCTTGTTTTTATACCTTTTTGCCGTGTTTTATAATTTCAAAGAGAAACTAACAATAGCATCAACAAAGGCAGTATGCAGATTTAATAGTGCAATAAAAACTAGCACAGAAAAGCTTTCCAAATTAAAATTAATGAAATTTCGGCCTAATTATAGTGTCCGAAAAACTTAGATTTTTAAAAAACTTGTCTGTTTTTATACCTTTTTGCTGGGTATAATTTTAGTCCGAAGCTTGTAAAGTTGTGAAGGAATCATTTCAGACCCTACAAACCATATATATTCTTGACCAGCATCAAAAGCTGAGTCGATCTAGCAATGTCCGGTCGAAAAATAAATTTTTGAAATTTTTTAGAAAATTGAAAATTTTCTTTTTAAATCTAAGTTTTTCGGACACTACAATTAGGCCGAAATTTCATTTATTTTAATTCGGAAAGCTTTTCTGTGCTAGTTTTTATTGCACTATTAAATGTGCATACTACGTTTGTTGATGCTATTGTTAGTTTCTGTTTGAAATTATAAAACCCAGCAAAAAAAAAGGTATAAAAACACGCAATTTGTTCCAAAAATCATAGTTTTCAAAACACACAACTAAGGCAAAAAATCATTAATTTTAATTCGGAAAGCTGTTCTATGCTAGTTTTTAATACATTAACAAATCTGCATACTCAGTTTTTAAATTTTAAAATTTAAATTTTTTGTCAAATTTTGACAATTTTAATTTAATTTAATTTAATTTAATAATTTAATTTTCTAAAAAATTGCAAAAATTTATTTTTCGTCCGGACATGGCTAGATCGACTCAGCTTTTGATGCTGATCAAGAATATATGTCGGACATGATTCCTTCACAGCGTTACAAGCTTCTGACTCAAATTATAGTTTCCTGCCTGATTAGAAAAACCATGCCGGTAATACATATTTGTGTCTAAATTCTAAATTCTGATTACTGCTAAATTCGTCCACTAGATGGTTTTGCAAGTGAGATGTATTTTTCACTAAATGAGGATCGCTGGTAACAATGAGACGCAATTTTGTCCCAACAGTGCAATATAGCTAATTGAGTATCTAAAACAAAATTGTCTGTTTTTCGATTTTGGGTAATAAGCGAACAGAAAGCACCAAGAAGCGACGTTCTATTATAAACTGTCCCAAAAAAGCATGCTAGAAATTAAAAGTCTGCTCATAGATTTGTGCACCCCCAAAGGATGCAATTAAGATCACTACGCCATGTCATTGTCTTGCTAAATTTTGGTGCATCTTTTGGGCTGAATTAATTAGCATTAGCGGGATGCGCCATTTTATGGCATACTTTTGCGCTGTATATACACATGAAGTCTTTAATATTCTGGCCGCTATACGGCTTCGGTGAAGACGTCATGGCATGCAGTGAATTTAGACCGGAAGTCCAGTGTGTAACGCAATCGTTCACTTCTTGGCCGCTAGATGGCTTCGGAGACCCCGTCTGCAAAATCCGATCAAACGACTTTTATTTATTTTGTATTATTTTTTATCATTTAACATAGTCCCAAAACATTAAGTTTACGGAGTGACGTAATTAGTATTAAAGTATTTAAATAATACTAATTACTTGGTAAAAATAATACGTTATTAGAAGTTATTACGTTTATATCTATGTTATTTTCGTAAATAGCCGAACGACTAGTTTGCGTACGGACAGATTGATAGGCTCGGCTGTTGAGGCCGATCAAGTATATATATTTTTTTTTAGGATCGGAACCGACTTACCTTCATTGCGTTGCAAGCTCCTAACTAAAATAATAATACCCTGAATAGTCCTTATCCTAGTGCAGCTTGTTGATTTTGTAAACCAATTCACACCCGACCATTTATAATGCGTGTACTATTCCAATACTTTTTGGTTTCAAAAACATCTTTAGCTTTTATTGACTTCTTCTGAGGTACTTCAGTCTTTACAACAAAATATCTTCTATATCTATGACTATTTGCTGTTGGAATTCAACTAAATACTTAAACAGTTGCTGGCAGTGGAGGGGGATTTCAGACCGAATATACGAGCTTCCTTAGATCTTGCTGGCTCGCCGCTCCTGCAGACAAGCGGTGGTGACGGTGGCCGCTGTTGTGCCAATGATGGCGGCTCCCAGGATGCCCCGCTCTCGTTCGCTTAGGCCGGAAATGGATAAACTGTTGCTGCGCCAAGCGGACGAAGATGTAGTGCGATCCGTGCCCGAAGAGGTGGAAATAGAGTTTATCAAGAAAGTAGCCTCGCGCCGAAGGGTGCGGCGAGGTGGGCGGGCCCCGGAGCTACCTGCCAGTGTGGCACCCTCTTCGGCATCTTGTTCCTGACGGCGCGATGCATTCCGTCCACTTTCGCCAGCTGTCGGATGCTGCCGCTGGTGGTAATGGTGACGATGATGATGATGATGCGCCCGCTGGCCGAGACACGTGAGTAGCAGCCGCCAGAAACCGCTCCGGAACTTGGAGGACATCAGGTTGTACAGGATGGGATTCATGGCCGAGTTCAGGTAGAGCATAAAGCGCGAAAAGTACAGCAGATTGTAGTAGCCGGCGATGCCCAGGCTCTCCACATTATCGGCGCTGGCAAGGATTACCCAGAGGGTGAAGGCGCGGAATGGCAGCAGGCACACGAAGAAGCTGGACACCACGGCCACTAGCATGAAAATCACCTGCTTCCGGTGCTTCCTCATCCCATTGCTCTGCTGGTGGCTGTTTCCCTTGGAGCTGGCCGGCCCTTGTGAGGTGGCCGCTGTCGTGCCACCCGCCGACTGAGGTTGCGGAGATGTAGGCCGATGGAAGGCATTGTTCGGACGCAACAGTTTGTAGGCAATGGCCGCGTACAGGAGGACCAGGATGCCGAAGGGCAAGAAGAAGAACACGGTGATGCTGCCCACGAAGTAGAGGATCGGCCAGAAGCCATCGGCTGCGGTTGTGCAGACCGGGGCATCGGTGCCGTCGCCGTAGGGCTCCACGCTGTAGCTGGATATGGCGATGATGGGACTGCAAGAATCATATTTCATATTGGATTAAAATTGAATTGGAGTGGCATATTCAGTGGCTGATGTTGTCTGCAAAGTTTGAACGCGCTGCGAGCAGGAAACAAACAAATATTTAAAAGCTACTCAACGGCTAACTACTGCAAAAGTTTTCAGGGGGCGAAGCACTCAACTTAATCACACAGCGGAAACGGAAACGGCAGTGTCTGCTTATACTCATCATACGCACAGTTAAGAATTGTGTGGGATTCTATCTACTTAACTTTTTATTTTATTTTATTGTACAAGAACGAAAGAAGACTACGAAAACAAATTAAAAAGCTACGTTCGTATGGTACAAATATGTATATTTACAAAGGACAGCTTGGCATTTCTCCGATTTCCTTAGAATTACGACTAAATAAATTACACGGCTGCTCACAGAATGATTAGAGGTTCCGGAGGGATGGGGGCAATATGTTGAAAAAACCGATTTCTTTGACCCATCATGAGTTGTCATAAAAATTTATTTACTTACAAAATCTGGCTCTCAAGTGTGTGGCGTTTGTGTGTGTGCGAGCGTGTGTTTTTGGTTGTATTTATAAGCAGAGTATATATATGTGTGTATGTATAAATATAAATATTATTATTTACGTATGCTGGCGTAGCTTAGATGTGTGGTATGTGTATGTATATGTTGTATGTACAACTGTGTTTACATATGTGAAACCTATATCGTGTGCATATTGAGCTAATCTTTTTATTCGAGCCGCCGCAAAGCAGGCAACAGTTTCCTCGGACATCCGGTGATGGCCGCCGCTCGTGTAATGGCTTCCGAATCATGGCCGGCTTACAGAAACTATTTCAATCCACCTAAATCATGTTTATCCGCCGCCTTGATGGGGTTCCCAAACATATATTAAGCCATTTCCCATTTCCATTTGCCGTCGCTGCACACTTTTCCCACTCTTTGGGGCCTAATGGCCATCGGGCATCGGGCATCGGGCATCGGGCTCGAAACCCTGACCAGTATCGGTAGAAGTTGTAGTGCTGTTTGGCTGTCGCTGCTGTTATTTATCTTTGGCACATTCATTCGAGTTTAATAGCCCGAAAAATTGATTGTTTTTTGTACGGAAATGTCCAAGGCGGTGGCCCCAGCTCCGGTACTTCTTTGTGGAGTTGTGAGCTGTCAACGGTTGACTGAAATCGATTATGCCTGCCAAAGGCGTTCTGAATGGGATTTGTGTGCCGGGATCAGCAGCCATCGACACATTCCAGCCAAGTGAAGCGAGCGTGTGAACGGGTTACGGACGATTTCTTGCTCAAGGGAGGTCCATCTTCGTGGGATTTCCTGCAGGAAGTTTCTCCTTCGCCGCTCTGGTCCGGCTTCCACCCAGAGCCTCCTCATCGAAACTGATTTGAGGTTTTTGGCGTCGCGGTTGAGGATTTCTCAGGCTCATCAGGCGGCTATCACTCTCCCGGCGGGCCATCCTCTTGCCCAGCTCCGAGTGCTTCAACATGGCCATGGCCTCCAGATCACTGCCACAAGGCATCTGCAGTTCGATCTTCAAGCGAGTGCGACTGATGTCCTCGCTGCAGCGGCGGTTGGAGCTTCGTGACAGAATACTGGAACTTGTGGCTGCCGTGGCATTTGATGAGTTAGTGTTCGTATTGGTATTGGTGCCCATGCCCAGCGTCAAGGTGCCACTGCGTCCGCGAGAAGCGCCCTTATTCCGCCTTCCCAGGGTAATCATTTCCAGCAGCACTCTTCCTGCATCCTGGCAGAGACGCCCGAAGCCCCGTCTAAACTTTGTGGACATCAGGTTGTACAGAATGGGATTCATGGCCGAGTTGAGGTATACCATTATCCGGCAGAAGTAGAGCAGGCTATAGTAGCGCACCAGCCCGAGGTCATGGAGAGTCTGGTCCGTGCTAAGGATGATCCAGAGGGTGAGCACCCGGAAGGGCAGCAGGCAGACGAAGAAGGAGAGAACGACGGCGCCGAGCATCAGGACCACCTGCTTGCGGGCCTTCAGGCTCAGCTCCGGCTTCGTGGGACGCGCCCGCAGCATGGCGCCCCTGTTGGAGACCAGGTTCCTGGCGATGATGCCGTACAGCACCACCAGGGTCACAAATGGCACCACGAAGAACACCGAAATGGTCATCAGGAAGAAGGCAATGGTCCAGTCGGTGATGGCCTGTGTGAGGCACACGGCCACCGACGATCCATCAATGTACTCGGCCAGCTTGTACTCGGCCACCCACAGAATGGGGCTGCTCGGGATTAATAGAGAGGGGGAGAGAGAGCAAACAAGAAACGTAATCAGGTTGCGGGGTCACGGGGGAGTGGATATCGGATAATGGATAATGGATAATGGATATGGTTGGAGCCAGGAGATTAAAGGCAAGTGGAGCCGAGAGAGGCAGGAAGAAGGAAAAGAAGTGAAGGCAGAATAGAGGCAGAGGATGACGATGAACCGATGACGATGAACGAGAGGTTAACCAAGTCTACTGGAACAAAGTTCACGTGTCCCTTATGAACCTGTCTGGCCTAGGAAAATAAGACTTGAATACAAACATTCAGGCTTATATGCAAGATTATCTGGTTATTTTTAGGTGATCTATGTTAATTGGTTTTTAAAAACAAAACAATTTTCGTAGGGGAATACTTAATTTTGTAAATTGTCTTAATATTAGAATGGCTTGGCTACTGTTAGGGTGCAATTTTAGAACCCAAAATAAAAAAAAAGAAAACTAACTTCGGGAAGCCGAAGGTAATATACCCGTGAAGTTAACAAACAAATTTTAGGATCATAACTAAGCTTACGATTTTTGCATTGTTCGAATCGATATTTGTCAATATTTCTATATGAATATTTTTCAATAAACCAACGTTTGAAAATTCCATAGCTTAGTCAAAACCCCGTTATTTTCAATACAGAAAGCTTTTCTATGTTAGTTTTTATTGGGTTAAAAAATTTACCAATTTAAGAAAATCGATTTTTTGCCAATTTTTGACAATTTTAATGATATAAATTTCAATTTTCGAAAAATTTCCAAAATTTATTTTTCGACCGGACATGGCTAGATCGACTTAGCTTTTGATGCTGATCAATAATATATGTATATGGTTTGCAGGGTCGGAAATGATTCCTTCACAGCGTTACAAGCTTCTGACTGAAATTATATGAAGCAAAAAGGTATAAAAACAGACCGTTTTTCTGAAAAATATAAATTTTTCGGACATCATAATTGAGACGAATTTATATTAATTTTATTTCGAAAAGCTTTTCTGAGCTTGTTTTTATTGCACTACTAAATTTGCATACTGTGTTTGTTAATGCTATTGTTAGTTTCTGTTTGAAATTATAAAACCCTACAGGTATAAAAACAGACAATTTTGTCCAAAAATCATAGTTTTAAAAACGCACAACTAAGGCAAAGAATCATTAATTTTAATTCGGAAAGCTGTTCTTTGCTAATTTTTAATACATTAACAAATCTGCATACTCAGTTTTTAAATTAAAAAATTCCATTTTTTCTCAAATTTTGACAATTTTAATTTTAATGATGTAACCCTTTATAAAATTTTCAATTTTCGAAAAAAATTTCAAAACTTTATTTTTCGACCGGACAAGGCTACATCGACTCAGCTTTTGATGCTAATTAAGAATATATATGGTTTAAAGGGTCGGAAATTACTCCTTCATGTTACTAGCTTGTGAGTAACATACATAGGTACCTTGATTTTATTAACTGTATTAATTATAATTAAGTATACGTATTTGTTTACCTATTTGTTTAGTTATATTCAGAATATGTTATTAAATTCACAATGAATATTACTGAACAGATGAAAATAGGATGATGAATAACATACCAAATAGTCATAAGGGATGGGTGCAAATATTTTTCATTAAACAAACAAGTTTAAATTTTTGTTTATTTTGGGTAACCCGAAACGCAGATTAAACACTTCCCCGGACCGAATCCTTGCCGGCTAGACCTAAAGATATGACAGGCAACAGGCGGGGACAATATGTATTCCCATTTTTTTCCTGACGATGATCCAAGCATTTTGGACGTGCGTCAGCGATGTGCCCCGCCTCCTTGGCATAGCTACGCCCTTGGACTTCGTGTGGCGCTTCTGTTTGAATGTGTTTTAAAATGTTTGCCGGCCGTCCCGATGGCCGACGGCTTCTTGTGTGGCGTAATTAATGGGTCTCGGTCCGGGATTCCAGTAGTGACCCCACCATGAGGGCAGCCCAAAAGGGGGTCAGTGGCCAAGTCGACAATGTGCTGTTTATTTCATTGTTATGAACGCGGCAAGATTTGCAAATTAAAAAGGGTCGCCGGTCGCTGGTCGCCCTTCGGAGAACGTCCTTGGTCGCGACCATGGACACACAATAATAAAGTGTCAATGAAATGAAATCCATGATAGCGGACATCGGTGCTTATTAAAGATGACAGGACGCTGATAACGGGGAGCTTCCACTCGGACAATGACCGAGTCCGGAACAGGACACGAAGGATGTGCGAGGAATGTGGGTTTGATGAGAGTGGAGGAGAAGTGGGAATGGAAATAGATAGGACAGAGAAAGAGAGCGGTAACAGTCACAGTTTAGCATTTAAATGGACACGCTGATGCCAAACAAAAGGCGAAACACCAATACCAGAAATTCCACAATCCAAGTAGAATGGAAAAATAAACAAAAACGGAAACGGAAATGGAAACCCAAAAACAAAACACAAATCATTAAAATGACGGCGATTGACACTTATAATTAATGAGCGAGGCACCGAATGCTTGGACGCACAAAATGAATAAATGAAAATAAGCCATAAACTAGATCTAACCAGGATAATGACGTTTATACTATATATACAAGAATACCAAACACCAGATAGCATGCAATGAAGTAACTAAGTACGATATAGAAATTATAATGCTAATATTTAATTAAATTCAAGGAAAAACAAAAGAGCTGGAGCAGGAGTTGTCCGGGTTTCATTGCACCGCCTCCTGACAGCGGAACCGAAGAATGCTTACCTCGTAAAGAGCGCAGCAATGCCCCAGGCCAGGACGCAGATGAGGATGGCCCGCCCCTTGGTGCAGACGTAGCCGGCCTTTAATGGCTCGCAGATTGCGTAATAGCGCTCGAACGAGATGGCCAAGATGGTCAGGACACTGGCGTGGGCCACCGTCAGCTCCACGAACGGCACGGCCTTGCCTGGTTTGGCCGGAGGAGTGAAGAGAAGAGCGCAGCAGTTAATTAGGCTAGGGAAAATAAACAGACCAGTAGGAGTAGCAGCACTTACACATCTCATGCCCCAGGACCCAGGTCTCCGGGCGGGTGTTGACCTCCACGAGGACGGTGGGTGTGCAGACGAGCAGCACCAGGAGATCGGCAATGCTCAGGTTAGTGAGGAAGATGTTGGTGGAATTGCGCATATCCTTCGTCTTGACAATCACAATGGGCACCTTGAAAAGAAAGGAAATATGAGAGAGGAATAAAACCTGTCAAAGTACCTTAATCATACTAATGCTTGTTGCACTTAATTTCATTATTTCCAAACTATAACCAGTAATTAAATTAAATATTGCAAAACTTGTTTGCAACTACAAAATATGTACTGCGAAAGTGGTTGCAAAACTTTACAAAAGTTTACAAAGAGCTGTGAGCAAGCAAAGTGATTTCTATTGGGAATTTTTAAATCGAGTTAATTAAAATTGTTTTGAATAGTTTGGAGCACTCACCATAACATTGCCCACCACACCCAACAACATGATAACTATGCAGAAGAACATGGCGGTTGTGCGGATATACGGCGGAATCTGTGGCAACATCTGCTCAGCATCGGCATCGGCGCCGTCCTTGGTTGTGTTTGGTGTTTCTGCTGATGTTTCTGCTGTGGTTTCTGTAACTGCTTCTGCTGCTGCGGTGGAGTTGGAGTAGGCGTTGGTGTGACGGTCAGGTTCGTCGGCTGGAATACGATGAGCTGGGTGGTGTGGGCCATCGCCGCCACTAGCAGCGCCACGGGATAGCCCAGCCTGCTGCGACGACGACGCGGTTGAGGCGGCGGCTGTTGCTGCAGATGTTCCTGCTGCGGCGGGGAGTGCATCTTGAGCGTGGAGCAGGAGGGAGGACAGGAGCAGGAGTAGCAGCAACAGGCGGATCCTTGGGCCTACGCCAATGCTGGTCAGCCGTGGAAGGTGCCCAAGCCTGGCCACAGCGACGCCGAGGCTGCCCCTCAAAAGAGTCCTCGCTGTCCTCGTCGTCCTGCTGCGGCAATCGGAATGTATGTCTCGCAATGGGAATCACAGGGGCAACATCTCTCCGGATGGATTGCTGCAGCCGCCACCGCCCGCTGTTCAATTAAGTGGGTTACGAGGGGTTGTCCACCCCGAAAATCCGCCGTAATTGCCCGCCCGGCAAGTTTATGCTCACGCTTAAATACGCGCTAATGAAATTAGGATGTCCAAGGACCTCTTGGATACGCTCCTATCGCCGGATCCGGATCCGGATCCGGTGGCATTAAACAAATCAATCAGAGAGGCTTTGCGGTTGTCGTCCGTGGTCTGAAGTGGTTCTGGAATGGCAACGGGATTAGCATTTAAGTGTCGGGACTAGGATCAGGAAATAACCGGCCATCGACCATGCCGGCGGCTAACTAACTAACGATAATGAATGAAAAGTTCATTAGGCGCGCTGTCATTTACATAACATTAGAGCATCCGGCCCCCAGCTGAGACTCCTCCATCTCCGCTCTGCCATAAACAAGCTAATCACAATGGCTCAGGGGTTCCTGACCAGGCGGCACTCGTCCGGAACCATCAGGACAGTGGCGTGGTCCAGCCTTGGCAGCAGGGTGCTTCTTAAGCGATTCTAATAGGATTTTAGCCAAGGGATATGGAACATAAAAAAGAAAACTTAAATATTAGCATGGTGGAGAACTTGGCACAAGTACTTGTTGCTAGGAAAAAGTAGTTCCCCATTCATGATCTTTAATGATAATAAATCATAAATTGTATTTAATTTTATCGTTATTTTCATACTCTAATTATACTATGGGATGTTCAATTAAAAACTGTCTGTTACTGATACCCGCTCCTGAGTGGAGGTTAGCGTCCAATCTCTGGTGGCACTGTCGCCCGGCTGTCGGCGATTATCACCGCGTGCTGCTTGTGGAGATGAGCGGATGAAGGCGACGGCAACCCAGACGACCAACGACCATCTTTATCCTCGTCAGCCAAATGGCTGTTGTCAGCCAAATGGCTTTATTAAATCCCCATCTTTGTGGCGCGCAACTCGCTTAATTATATTATGCTCATACACACTCGAAGGGACACGAACAGGAACTGGGCATTAGACTGGGACGGGGACGGGGACTGGGACCTGGACACTTGGTGGCATAAACACAGGCTTCCGGTGTTTGTCTCGGGACTTTCGATGGTTGGGAGCGGGGTGAAAGGACACTCTGTGCAGCGCCATTTTGATTAATTTGATAAATTCATTATGCGCACACCATATTGGCCAGTTTGTGGGGGATGGATGCCCCTTCCTGTCCGGATGCTTTTGGCTACGCGCCTGGAACATGTCCTTTTTTGCCCAAGCCAAGCTGTGCACTTTGTTTGTTATCCTGCCGCCGGTCAAAACTACCTCGTGACCAGAGTTTCGGATTGGGTTGTGCGGGTTTAACGTCCCCAAATGGCATAACAAGGCAGTTTGTGTCACATTTGGCTTAAAAATGCGACTTTAACGATGCCAAGCGAAGGATTATTTCGGTCTCTATTGGCCATTTTGCTTGGCGTAATTGTTTCGAAACTTTTGAGTTTGTCATGTTGGCAAGACAAATGAATAGTTTCCAACTTTTGGTTGAGAGCTGTGGCCATGGTCATCAATGTGGACCACTCGTCTGGACAAAAACCCAAATATCCATATATAAATATATATATACTATATATTTACAGCCAACAACTGCCGCCAGAAACATGCGAGGCCTGCATGTAAATCTGAAAACGGTTTATGGTTACGGCCCAAATCCCAACAGCTCGAGTGTCGTCGAGCGGCATTTTGATGGATAACTTGTGGCCTGGCCTGTCTATGGGGGCGTGTGCCCAAATACAATGCGGTGAAGCTAAGGATGTGGATACACTTGGGTATACAAGGGGGTATAAATTAAACAAAACCACCGGAGACTATAGTTAAACGATTTTGGGTTAATTTACTTCATGAGAGATATATACAAATAAATCATATATTAAGTTGAATAAATATTAAAGGTGATACATGCTTTGAGAAAATTGTTAAAGGCAAGGTAGAGCTAACAAAAATATAAATTTTCATTAATCCAACAGTAAAACATAAAAATACAATAATATATGAATCAATTATAAAATTAATGTTATATGTTTTCATATAAATAACACCTCACACATTTCCCCTAAAGGTCTAATACATTGATTCATATCTTTGTTGAGTAAGAAATACATATGTATCTATGAGAAACATGACTTTAATTTATTGATTGTTTATACTCCCACAAAGTCATAACAAAACGGGAAATAAATAAATTTATTTCGATTTATCCAGGTAAAATTCCTTCAATATTTTTTCCATGTGCACCCTATTTTTGGTATAATTTTTAGGCCAAGATTTGAATAAGGTTCAAAGCTGCTGCTGTGGCGATAATGGAAATGGAGCTTCTTGGCCTGCATCCCACGTGGGCGGTGACGCGGGGGGAGTGAGCATAGAGTGCGGGGGGCCGAGTGGATTTGCGTGTACTGATGGTCATGTGTGTGTGTGTGGTGGGGTAGTGTAACGCTTTTTATGGTATTTAAGATTGAACGGAATTTATTGCTGACACCCTAATAAAATTAACATTGAAATGGCAATTTGAGGCGGCAATAAGAATCAGCGGCAGAAGTAGCTGCGGCATCAGCAACTGTATCGAAATCCTTAGCTCCCTGGAGCTCTATAAGTCCGGGAACCCCCTTACACACACTCACACCCACACACACACGCATATCTAATCAATTTATCGTTCAATAATAGTCAAGCCACTGGGATATATAGGATGTTGACGGCCTCCGGGGCGGATGTGCCTCGGCGGCAGCCACTTTGACAAATCGCTAAGCGTGAAAAAAAAACCGAAAGTGCGGGCAGCGGATAACAAAATTAAAGTCAGGCCGTCGTCAAATTGATTTCGAACTTTCTGGCAGAGAGCGACAGTGCCTTGAACCGCTTAAATGCCCGGAGGAAGGCGACGAAACACATTCATTTGGCCCCCAAGGGCAACCGCATCACATCCTGCGGCTGTATCCGTGGCTTCCTTTGGCCAGGGGTGTCGCACGCTAAATAAATTGAAATGACTTCGTAATTGTATTTGCGACTCTGGCTAAATTAATCTAACTAGTTGGCATGCCGGCGCAGCGCTCGTGTGGAACCAATAGCCAAAGTACTGAACGAAAACAACAAGCGAACAAAGCGCCGTAAAACCAAAAGCTTGTTTTTCAATTCGACCCACCCACAACAACCGGGAGTGGATGTTTTTCGTCCAGAGCCAGCTAAGAGGGGCGGTGGGTGAGTCCCCTAAACCCGCCCCGCCTTCGAGAGCCAAATTGACATGTCGATGGTCATGTTCCACGTTCATGTCCCTTTAATTGACCATTGAATGGCAATTATGGCAGGAGCCGAGGCAGTTCTTGGACTTAAGCTAGTGACAGTTCATATTAGCCCTATTCCATCTAAATAAGCCACATTAGAAGGATACCATTAGGCTAATGCCCTTGTAGGGTTATTTTAGGATACTCGGTTTTGTGGGGTTCCAAAATCCCCTTTATTCCGAAACAAACAAATAAACAGGGAGAATATGTTGTCATACACTAGGAACTTTAGAAAACAATTGTTAAGTAAAAATGTCTAAAAGAATTCTTTCTATATTATTTATCCAGTTTTTTTTCGTCAGTGCAAAAAATAGTTCCAGCGACAGGAATTTAAATTGAAAGCGCCGAATGATTGGGCATTCTATTTTCGAATTACAGCTTTCTTGTCCCGGATTCCAGCCAAGCCCAGTTCCTGTGGCAACTTTTCAGCCGGCGCTTGGCCTGGCTCTAATAACTCTATGCGGCAGTTGCTGCAAGGAGTCAAGGATGTTTGTCCTGCCCGCAGCCTCAAAGCCCCCGAAGTCCATCCTGTCCGATTTCACTTATTTATGCGACTGCTGCGAGCCATTCTGCCATTGCTCCGTCTCGACTGTTTGCCTGCTACTGGCTACGGGATACTGGCTACTGGATACTGGATACTGGCTACTGTTTAGTGTAACTGCCACCGACTCCCCGTCCGGCTGTCTGTCTGTCAGTCGGTTTTTGTTTGTTTGCCCGCAATAAGAAAAGGCAACGGTCGCGGGGCTAAACGCTCAAACAATGGCCAATAGATCGGCAAGTGCAGCTGCGTTCAAGAATTAAGTAGAGTCTGGAAATGCTTAGTTACGTTTTGGTTTCTCTTTAAGATCTCGAGAGACTTGGATAGGGTTGACATAAGGATAACATTAAGGGTTTGTTTAAGTTTTCCAGATGGTTTCGAAAGTTAAGTCTCTCGTCTCGCTCTTCAGATTTCCTATGTGCTTACAGAACTCTAATACAATATTATTTGTTAACAAATTATTCTTTATTTTTGTACGTTTTTAAAGGTTTCTTTTGCAAGCTATTTATATATATATTTGTAATACTCCTATTATTTTGACCATAAATGTACCTGATTGTTAGTATACATATGTGTATACAACGTTCATTGTACATTGTACACAGTGGCCAATGGTTTGGTCGTTCAACTAATGTTCCTCTAAAGCTAAGAGTTCTTTATCTGGCGGGTAGAATGTGCGCCCGCTGTTTTAAAGGCGCTCAAGTTGCTCATACGCCCTGTTGGTCTGCTCCGTACCACGTCCTTTTGCCTGATGAACGTAATTTTATATTTCAGCTCTCCGAAGCTTGTTGCTGCGGGAGTTTTGCCGCTGAGCCATGGCATTGATAAGCCATTGGCCGGGGAAGGCGTTTTATCGCCGGAACGCGACGAAAGATGCGACGCTGCCCACGGACTTTACCATCGCCGCAAGCCGGGAAACTCAGCAGCTGGTGTCGCTATAGTCGCTATAGTCTCTATATTCCACGGACTTGTTTGCCTGTTTGCTTGCTGTGGGAATTCATACAGCACACATTCGGCACCACCGATGGCGGACAGACAGTCGGCGGTGGGTCATATAGCACAGATAGCATTGGCCATTGTTTTACGATTCCATGCGTAGGGTAAATAGAGACAAAGTCGGGTAACTTAAAGGACTGAACAGGTACCCTTCATAATAGGAAAATATTATATGAAATATGTACATATATATGTATTATGTATAAAGGAAACAAACAAGCAAATATATATATATTTAGACTATTCTGTTTAACCTTAAAATAATTTTAAATCTTAAATCTTAAAAATACATTAGGCCATCTAATTTATCATTATATTTCTATATAAATAAGAGTGAATCTGCAACCATTTATATTTTTCTTAAATGTCAACTGCTCAGGAATATAATTT